TAACTGCATATAGGTGGGTATTCTCACAAGTCAAATATCGAGATATTATTTCAACGCCTTCTCGTACTCTGTCGGACGTATTAAATAAACAAGTATGTCGGAATGAACTAACTCTAGAAATGATATCTATGGAATATTAGACCACTCTCAGTGATAAATAGTTGTTTAGGATATCCAGTGATTCCCTCAATAGGACATTGCCTCTTTTTGGGTATTGGTTTCTCAGATTCACTACCTTCTAGAACAACCAATGTTAATCCGCTAAAATCTCTAGCATCACTTCCTCTTTTTGGGATCTTTTTAAATCACTAGCATCTTTCCTCGTTTGCTGGAAGTTGACTCATCTCTGCATTATTTATCCTCTTCTATGTCACAATCCTTTTCTTCAACAACTCCCTGCTCAGTGATAAAGAATGCCCTCCGATTTGGGCAATTTGATGCCACATGGCCAAAACCGTGACACTAAGCTTGAATCACTAGCATCTCCTCATCATTTGTTGTATGCCACATGGCCAAAACCGTGACACTTAAAAGCTTGAATCACTAGCATCTCCTCATCATTTGTTGGAAGTTGACTCATCTACGAAGTATTTTTCTTCTCTGTGTCATAGTCCCTTTTTCAACTACTCCCTGTTCAGTAAAAGAGATTGTCCTTTTTTTGGGCGCAACTTGAATCACTATCATCTCTTTCTAGTTTGTTGGAAGTTGACTCATATGAAATATTTATCCTCCTCTGTGTCACAGTCCCTTTCTTCAACTGCTCCCCACTCAGTGAAAGATATTGTCCTCTTGTTTCTGTAATTTGATGCCACGTGACCAAAACTGTGAAACTAAAGCATTTATTAATGAGGATGCATTTGGGAGTAGTAGCAGTCTCCACCTTTTCACCACTTTATATCGGTTTCTCCTTTTGGTTGGGTTAGTTTGTTTGCTTCATTGAGTGTACTCTTAATGCTTGTAAGATATAGCGATCACTCGGTATTGTTATTTCTCTGCCTTTGAAACTAGTGTCTGAACATTTTGTAATGTCCAATAGGATTGTAACTGTACCACGTTGCCAATGGATGACCTCAATAATCCCAAATACTGATAGTGCTTCGCTAGCCCACACTCAACAAAAGTTGTTTAAACTAAGTTGTGTACTCTACCGAGAGATCTTATTGTTTTAAGTGATGAAACCTCAACAACATACCATGCCTATAATTTGTTGGAAGATACTTGTGCTACATCTCTAATTTCATCTTGGACTATATAATAGTTTTACTCTACATTCTCACTATCGAAGAATCGTCAGGTTCTCCCACAATAAAGAAGCATACTTATTGAACTTAATGACCATCAATTTGACTCTTTTATTATCGAAAATGTCTTCTTACTCCAAAATTTGCTCCACTGTTTGACGCCACCCGATAAACTCATCTGCATTCATACAATCATCAAAATCAGAAAAATCTACCTTGACTCCAAGATCTTGATTTCTCCTGTCATATTTCATGTCAAATCATCTAGGTAATGATTCTTTGTCACTAGAAACTGCCTAGTAGAAGAGATTCACTTCTTCCTCTCGATATGATGAGTCACTGCTGTTGAAAAATTTATTACTGTATATATTTCATAGTAAGCTCATGGACACATTTTTGTGGATTTCGCCTTAGTGGTATTGTGTCATTTTCTCCCAATTACGGTTTTAACGGGTGTTGTAGGATTGCAAATAAAATGGTGATCGAAGTTTAGGGTTTTTGTGATAAACTGGTGTGGATTTTTTGTGAAGGTGGGAATGTTAGATGTGTTGGTGTGGATTTTTTGTGAAGGTGGGAATGTTAGATTTTGAAAATTTAGGGTTCCATGGCTAGAAATCATGGTAGGAATTGATAGGGTATGGTAGGGATATATATATATTTTAGTTTGTAAATTTTGACTAGGGTCAGAAAAGGCAAATCCATAAAAATTTTGTTTGATGGACTCTGATGCAAAACACCTTCAAGGAGCACTAGAACGGTATCATTGGGGATTGTCAATCAAGAAGAACAGAAATTAGAAAGCTAAATTAAGAGTTTTTTATAATTAAAAGTTTCCTTATTTCCAACATATTTATTCTGATTTATTTCCCTTTTAGCTGAATATTTAGATTAGAAAAATGTATTATTAAGTTACCTAAAATAGATTATATGCACTTTATTTTGTACTTAAAATAGATTGTAAGATTGTTATTTAATGGAAGAAAGCAAAGGCAAAAGCAATCGAGCCTATTCAGAATTCAACCTATTTTTCTCAAAATTTTGATATGGTATCAGAGCCAGATTTTTACCGTCGATAATTGTTGAAGTACCGTCAAGTCTCCCTTCCTGCCGGCCTTCTTGCAGGACGGGAAGGGAGGAACTATTTCGTTGCTTGATTATCATTCGTTCGTCTGCTGGTCATCTCATGATTTCTTCAGATCTCCTTCGCAAGTCATCGTTGCTTCTTCCACTTCGGCTTCGTCGGCTTCTTCGTGTTAATGAGATGACTAGAAGGGTCAGGAACATCGATGATGTTACCATCAAGATCCGTCATCTTGGCAGTATTCTTCGTGTAATTTTGTCCGCCAAGTTCTATGATACGACGCTCCCAGTGGACATGCTCGTGAAAAAGTTTGTTGATCTCGTCATTGAGATCACAGAGGAGATGCTTATCGAGGCCCTCGATCTGGATCTCAGCCGCCTTGACACCAATCTCTCGGAGAATTTCGCTACGCCATCGGTCAGCATCGGTGAGATCGCGGCATTCCGAGGTGAGGTATGGACGTCTTTGGGCTTGCCCTTCTCCTCATTCTTCATCGCAATGAAGTGATTGAGCATCGATTGTGCCTTCTCCTCATTGCTAGCCATCTGGGCTTGCGCTTCTCTCTGCTTCCTCGCCTCCTATCACTTCGTTTCGGTCTGCTTCATCCTCCTGTGTTGGCTTCAGCTGCTTTGTCCCAGTCTGTTTTGTCTCAATTGCTTCGGCACACTTGAGCTTTGGCACTCTTGATCTTCGGCACTCTCAAGCTTCGGCACTCGGACTTCGGCACTCTCAGGCTTCGGTCTCTTGGGCTTCGGCACTTTTAGGCTTCAACACGTTTGGGCTTTAACACGTTTGGGTTTCAGCACTCTCAGGCTTCGGCCTTTCGGGCTTCGACATTTTCATGCTTCGAAATTTTCAAGCTTCGATCTTTTGGGCTTCGACACTTTTAGGCTTCAACACTTTTAAGCTTCGGCCTTCTTGGGCTTTGGCACTCTCAAGCTTCAGCCTTTCGGGCTTCGACCTTTTCGTGCTTCAGCATTTTTGGGTTTCAACACTTTTAGGCTTCGGCCTTCTTGGGCTTCAGCACTCTCAGGCTTTTTGACCTTTCGGGCTTCGACATTTTCAGGCTTCGGCATTTTCAGACTTCGGCACTCTCAAGCTTCGACACTCTTGGGCTTCGGCATTTTCAGACTTCGGCACTCACGGCTTGAGGATTTTTTTGTCCCGACAGTGTTATCAGTTTCTTGTTAGAAAATTGATGTTTCCTGATCAGTCAGCATCAATTTGAGGGGGAATGTCAATCAGGAAGAATAAAAATTAGACAGCTAAATTAGGAGTTTTTTATAATTAGAAGCTTCCTTATTTCCAACATATTTATTCTGATTTATTTCCCTTCTAGCTTAATATTTAGATTAGGAATATGTATTATTAAGTTACCTAAAATAGATTATATGCACTTTATTTTGTACCTAAAATAGATTGTAAGATTGTTATTTAATGGAATGAAAGCAAAGGGAAAAGGCAATCGAGCCTATTCATATTTCACCCTATTTTTCTTAAAACTTTGACAGGATCACGGCGTCTGCTCCCTCATCAGCACCGTTCTACTTTTCCTGCCAAATCTAGGAGCAACACTGATGTTCAGCCTTCCAATTATTCTGTTTTTAGCATTGATGTCTAGATTTCTGAAGGCCTTATGGGTCTCACTGATCAAATATTTTCGTAGACAACTACAGCATTCAATTGGGGATTTTCAGTAATCATGCTTGCTGTGTATTGCGCTTCCTAATTAGCTCCAGCGGTCCTTTTATTTTTCCCCTCTCCACAAGGATTACGGGAATGCAGGCTATCGACTTCCTATATGTTGATGGCCTTTTAATTTTTGATGAATTTTCTTTTCATTCATCCCAATGTCTTTCCTGTTTAGACTTTATTTTCGGAAAATTACCGGAGTGAAGACTTGTCATTTTCATGTCTCTCCCACTTGAAAACAGCAAGAAATGATGGACAAATTTCCCTTCTCTTGTGTCACTCAACATGCCCATGTTTTTTCTACATACATAATTTTAAGGGCTATGTACGTGCCAGATTAAAGAAAATGTTTCATGACTATGAAGATTATTTAGTTTTATTAGAGAAACTAAAAGTACAAAGAAGCTACAGGATGTGAACCTGATTACTAGAGTCGACCAATATAAAGCTGCTAGAAATACTAATGCCGACAGGAAAATTTTCTCAGGCATATGGTTTAGAATTGATTAAAGAAAATAAGTAATATGATTGCTATGGCTGTTAAAATCCTAAGGAACATTATATCCCTTAAAATGCCTGAAAAGAAATCAAATTACATAATTTCGAAATAAAATCATCACAGGGCTTAAGATGCCTCAAGATAAAACTAAAGAGTTAAATGCCAAAATAGTCCCCTGACTATTTACATGGAGTAAATTTAGTCCCAAAGTATATAAAAGCATCAAATTAATCCTTGCTCTTTTAATATGGGCTTAACTAATCCTCAGGGAGCTTAATTTTAGCCCCCCTTTAAAAGATTTTAGGGACTACATTGACACTTTTATAGAAACTTGGGCTAAAATGGCCCCAACAAAGAGTCAGGTGACCATTTTGACAGTTCTTCTTAAAACACAGAGACACCCAATTAATAGAATCTTAAAATTTCTTCATAACAAAAATTAATTAGGAATAAAGGTAAGGATCTACATATAGTATCAAGAAAATACCTCGCATCATGCAATATTTTTTTAGCAGAACAGAACACAGGTTCCACTTCAAAAAGAATCTGCTCCTCCTCATGCGTCAACAATTCGGCATTTCTTTTCATGTTAGAGCTTCCAATAGCATTCCTACCTCTTTGTTCATCTGATTTTATCCCTGTCCTCGCAGAAGAATTCTTCCAAGTTCTGCGCCCATCCGTTGAACCCCAGCCCCGAGATTTCCAGCCACTATTTCCATTATCAGCAGCTTTGGTCTCATCCAATTTTTCCACATTTGAGGACTCGACATTAGCTCTTGCATCATTGTTATGTGTATTGCATGTACTTTTCCAATTGCTGCAAGCAGCATCAGTTGAGCCACGACCTCGATATCCCCAAGAACTATCTCCATTATCTGTTGCGCCTTTTTCATTCCAATTATTTAGTTCGGAGGATCTTCCAAAACTAACCATTTCAGTTTTTGGACTATCCCAGGCGCCAGCTTTACTTGTCCCGTCAGTGTCCAATATAGTCTTAGCAGGACTTTTCCAACTTTCAGATTCACCAGTTGAACCCCAAGCACTATCTCCATGATCTGTGGCATTATTATTCTCATTCCATTTATCCGATTGGAAGGACCTTTCAGACCTAATATTTTCATGCTTAAAACTACTCCAAGCTCCACCTTTACTTAACCCATCAGTATTCCAGACAGGCTTAGAGCTACTGCAACTTTTGGATGCATCTGTCAAATTCCAATCTCTCTCTCTATGATTTGCTACTCTATTCTCATTCCAATCATTCGATTCGGAAGATCTTCCAAAATTAGCCTTTTCTGCGTTGTGGCCATTCCCTCTGGCTGCTTTACTTGTCATGTCACTGTTCCATGCAGGTTTATTAGAACTGTTCCATGTTTTGGAAACATTGGATTCACTTGCCAAACCCCAGCCGGAGGATGGCCAAGCACCATTTGCTTCACTATTTTCATTCCATTGTTTACCATTATCAACTCTTTCAGAGTTGCCAGTATCCACAGAGGGTGGTTTGCTTGAACCACCCCATCCTTGTTGAACCTCAGGTGTTTGACTTCCATATTTAGTGGACTCTTTCTCATTCCCAATATCCCACCCCGACCAGGCACCATCTTTCTTTAGAGATGATTGGGAATCAAGTTTATCTGGCTTTTTCTTACTTTCCCATCCTTGCCAACTATTTGGTTTCATTGAGGACTCTGAACCACTTTCCCAGTTTAATTTATTCCCATCCTCTCTCTCCTGTACTAAAATTTCAGAATGGAATAGGGAATCATTTCCATCATTATAAGTTTCTTTCCCAATGTGTATGCCTGACACTGGAGAAGCACAGAACTCATATTCACTCTCATACATGAGATCATCAACGTCAACTTCCTTTTCAGCAGATGCTGTCTGCACCAACTCTAGGAAATCATAAACATCCTTTTCTACATCTTGGTTAGCTTTCACCTAACAAATATTAGACAGCACCATATATCATATAATTCCACTCTCAAAAACAAGGTTCTCTAGTTTAAACAAGATTTTGAGAAATCTATAGAAGTGTAAAAGTGAATTCTAACCTGCTGTTTATCCCAGAAAACTTTGAAGCAGGAACCAGTACCAACTGCAACATGTTTGCCCCATAAACATGATGAAACTATACTAGTCAGCGTATCTGTATGACATTTTTGAGCAGCTCTCTCAAAACATTTTATTGGAGTCTGTAAAATATACATGGATGGATTTATAACAAAATGTTTTCACTTGATTAATACACATAAGGTTAACAAGCTAAAAAAAGTATACTATTCAGAAATAAATTTCTTACAAATAAAGTTGCTTCAGTAAATGGCATTTGAACATTCAACGAGCGGAGAAGTTTCTTGAAGCCGCTGTTATTGAAACCAAGAAGACTTCCTGTACATGTCATGCTATTTGCAACAAGAATGAGGTGCTCTTTAAGTACTCCTTTCGCAACCATCTTAATTGATGCTGATAGGCGCTGTGAAAGCAATATCACAAGATACAAATGAAATGTAGATGTTAAAAATTTAAGTCATTGAAAAAAATAATGCTGCCAACTGCTGAGCCGGTGCATGAACCATAAGGAGATAAGCTCATCAAAGTTTCTGATTAAATTAAATATGCAAACAACAGTTGCCAGAAAACAAAATTAAAAAAAAAAAAAAAAAAGAGGAATCCAATAAGCACAAGTTCCCAGAAAACAAAATTAAAAAAAAAAAAAAAAGAGGAATCCAATAAGCAACCATATATCAAAAACAAAAAAAACACAAACATCAGAATGCAAAAAAGAAATTTACCTGAACTGATTGCTCAAAACTACAAGAAATGCCAAGGAGGTCCTCAACTTGCTTGATGCCATAGGGTACAGATCGCCTGGTATCAATGAGGTGCATAACAGGTAAGCAAGCATCCAAAACAGTTCTCCATGCATCACCATTTTGTCGAGCATAACTTCTTCCAACAAAAATTTCAATGGCTAATTCTCCCTTCAATGGTCTCCTATCTCTCACGGAAGAAGAGTTTGTAGGTTCGACCCAAATGATATTAGCTGAATCTACTCTAGAATCACCTAGTTTATCATCAAATAATCAGACATCGAAGTAATAACACTTTTCCAATATTCTTAAAGAAAAAAAAAGGAGAAAAAACTAAATAGTTCAATGAAACAAAAACATCTTGAAATATGGTAAGAATTTATTGAGGCGGCATTCATACGATCAGATAAAAAAAAAAAGAAACAATTACAAGAAAATAAGAGCTATCTTTAACAACCATACTAGCTGTTGAATTATGGAACAAATATTATTTCTCACTCACCCAATTCATTACACCTTACTAGACAGATATAATAGTCAAAATAAAAATCCCTCCAAAAAGGAAAAAAAAACAGAAAATAAAATAAAGAAATGGAAACACAATTAATGAAAGATATTCTAAGGAGAGAAAATACATTCCTTACTAATTAGGAATATGTTGATTGGCACTTTCCTACACTCTCCTTCAAGTTGGATTGTACATATTGTACATAGTAAATTTAGACTTCAATTCATCATGACTGACCATTGATAGCGCTTTGATGAGATATCCACAAACTGAAGCCGTGTGAGAACATAATTGAGTTGAACATTACCATTGTTAACGTTTTTCTGAGATAAAGTGTCAATCAATCTCCATGTGTTTAATTTTCTAATAATGCACAAGATCCTTGGCTATAGTAATAGCTACTTGGCTACACTAAACATCTAAATTGTGTAAATTATCTCAGCTTTAAGCTCCTTTAAGTTTTTGAATCCACATTATTTCACATATTCCTAGTTCTAGAGCACAATATTCAAATTATGCTCTACACTGAGAGATAATAGCATATTTTTTGTTTCTCCATATGAAAATATTTCCCCAGACATATCAGACATATCAACAAAATCTAGTGGTTGATTTCCTATCAATTACTTCCCCTACCCAACTAGCATCCGTATATATCTTAATCTCACATTTTTTACATTTTTTTTAAGAATAAACCATATCCAGAGATCATCTTCATGTATCTCAAGATTGTGTTGAAAACATCCAAATGATTATTATTTGGATTATTTATGTGTCGACTTACTACACTGACTAAGTATGCAACAATAGTTCTTGGGTGTGATAGGTAAAATAGTTTGCCCACAAATCTTTGATATCTTTCTTTATCAATTAAACTGGTTTCTTCACTTCGGTTCATTGTTGGAATTCAAGGATGAGCCGGCAAATTTACACCCACACAAGTAAGTTTCACTTTACAGGACTAAAATATACTCCCTTTGTGACATCAGTGTAAAAGAGTCATGAGTTGAGGAATCCATACCATTATGATAATCTGGAAGACTTAATTATGGCTCTTGACAGTCTTAGCTTTGCATAATGTCCTCTAAATGCTCGGTAGTCTTTTCCTTCTGGTGTAGACACGAAATTCTTGATCCTTGGTGCTAAGTTGAGGTTAAATGGAGACAAATGGGGCAGTTTTCGTCATAGAGTTTCATTCTTCAACTGAAGCAGGTTGAGAGATAAGAATTGATTCAGTTAAAAGAGAAATGACCGGAGAAGAATCCAAAATTTAATATTCCACGAGTGCTCCTCCTGAATTTCACATTTGAGGAAATAAGATTGACTTTTTAAAAAAAAGTGACACCCTTGGAATTGAATATTTTACTAATGATATGAGAATAAAATTTGAACCTTTTTTATATGAGAAATAAGGAAGGAAGATGCATTTGAACATAGGATCAAATTTAGTGTGGTGTTGTTGATAAATATGGATAAAGGAAAAACAACAAAAAATATTTACTGGTAAGTCTGAAAACAGAGAGTAAACGTGTGGGTAGGATTCAATGAGCACGTAATGGGGAATTTGAAATTATAAGACTTGACTCAACATCCTATTGAAGAGGTATGTGGCAGTGAGAATAGCTTCTCCTAAAACAAGTTTAGGCACATGATTAAACAACACAATGGCATGGGTGATCTCAAGTAGGTCTCCATTTTTGCTTTCAATGACCTTATTTTATTGAATATCCACACAAAAATATATACGGATAACACCATGCTTAGAAAAATAAAGACTAAGGATAGAAGTAAAGTATTCCTTAGAATTATCAGTTTTAAGAATTTGAATTTAGCTTCAAAATAAAACGAGAATTTTGAAATAAACAGATTTAAATATGGTGATTGTTTCATACTTTTCTTTCATCAATAATATCCATGCTGTTCTTATGTGGTCATTTATGAACAATACAAATCATTGTACCCATTTATAATATTTACTTAAACGGGAACCCATAAATCCTTATGAATTACATAAAAAAGATGTGAACACTTAAATTACAATTTGGAGTACATGTCTGACATGTTTTGCAAGTTGATAAGTTTAACATCAATAAAAATTAGAAATTTTAGTGATAAATAAATGCGGAAACATCTTTTGATGGATGATCAAGACAACAATAACTCTACATGACTTCCAGCTGACATAACATTGACCAAATTTGAATTGGACTCAGAAATACAGCCTAATAGATAACATTGCCTACAGATGAAATTATTTTCTTTCAGCAAGTATAGACTACAATGCATCTCAACAACGCCAACAATGCTAATCACCTTCCCTAAATCCACAACCTGAAATTTTCAATAATTGAATTAAAATTTAATCACATTTTAAATCACAAGTTTGTTGATTAAGAGTAATTTACATTTTAATTTTGGAACATAAAGAAGAGAGAAGAGAGGGAGATCCTTTGTCAATATGATTGAACCAATTCTGGCTACTGGTAAAAACGAACCATCAGCTATATGAACTGCAGAGTGAAAGATAGATGGGTTGTAATTTTTTAAGACGTTATCATATATCATCTGAGGCTCAAGAGTCAATTATCCAATGTTTGATTTATTGCTTTGTACGCTAAAAGCATGGGATAAAATACCTCGTTGTGCAACAGAGCTGTGATGCTTGTCCAAAATTGAAACTGTTATTGAACCTATCCAATGTTTGATTTATTGCTTTGTACGCTAAAGGCATAAGATAAAATACCTCGTTGTGCAACAGAGATGTGATGCTTGTCCAAAATTGAAACTGTTATTGAACATTTTCTTCAATGCATCAATTTGCTCCTCAGTGAACAAATTGAAATCTAAATTACAGTAGCATTTGCACGGTTCTCCATATCATATCTTCTATTAGATGACTTCCAATCTACAGATTTACTGTATAATTTTTAAGTATATTTCCTTCACATTATTAGGTTTCTTACAATGGTCACACCACTGTCATCCTTTCCTAGACATGTTATTCTGAAAGCAGGAATTGTGAGTGTGCAGTGCTGGCCCCTCAACAGATGGTGTGGTGTGATTGTCTAACATCATTTTTTGTTTTTCCTCTTTGAACTTCTGCAAAAGCCTCCCTCAGATGGTTAGAAGGGCATTAATTCTCATAATTCTTCCCCAGACTTCATTTAGGTTTTTATTGAGACCAATAAGGAATTTGATATTTCTTTATTGTTTAATAATCTTACTATACAATGTCAAGTCATCAGAACATTTCCAAGAATAAACCTAGTACATGCCTAGTTGCAGCCAATGTAATGAAATATTGAGCAACACTCAATTCTCTATGATCTAGACCATGTAGTCTAGTCTCAATCTCAAATCTCTAACAAGTTTTGTGTGCAGCCTCCCATATCTCCTTAGCTGTCCTACAAAGCAAGAAATTTGCTTCAATTTCGTGGTCATAGAATTTATTAGTCGAGACATAACCATGGTTATCAATTTTCCAGGCCTGGCATTTAGAATTTGCCATTTATGGAGCTGAAATTTTACCTATGAGATGTTCATCATTCCCGCTGTTACATATGTATATGAAGATGGACTGCAACCATTGAAGAAAATTATGGCCATGTAGTTTATGGTTGGTGACTTTGTGAGAAGTAGGCTTAGATCTGAAGGTGACTTCCGAGGAAGAGTACTGTGAAGCCATGCGGTGTTTGGCCAAGATAAGATGTGAAACACGAATTAGAAAGACCTGCTGCACAAACAGAAGCGAGACAACTCTTAGTTTGACTGGACAAGCAAACGAGAATTAGAGGGAGGTTGCAACTATTTATTTCCACGAGTTTGGCACAGTGCAACACCCCAAATATACAAAAAAAACAATGACTCGATAGGAGACAACTAGGGAAATTCAAACCAATCGCAGGATCTAATCGCTTTGCTGCAATGGACCGGAACCGCACAAGAAGAATCTATTGCACTTGATGTAGCAAAATGCACAGCAAGAGCCGACTGCGACCAAAGAAGTACTATATTAGAACAGATCATTTGGTCAAGCGTTCAAATGAAAGAGACAAAACAACATAAGGAATTGTTTTGTTCGAACCTTAAAATTTAAAACAGTCTGATGCATTTGATTGACAATTAAACAAGCACAAGAATTATTCAAATGGTTCAAGCTATTAACTTCAATGATGATAAAGAAAAAGAAAAACTAGTTTAATCACACAGTTGATGATCAAAACAGCATAAGCCTATTATGTGTGGGAGGGTGAGTGGGTAGATGGGGGTGGGTGTAATATTTAGATGTAAGTCTATACAATGTGCATACTTGATATTATTAGCATTAAAAAACTTCCTTTTCAAGTAAAACTTTTGGTAAAGGGAAGAGAACTCAAAGCAATAAAAATTAGTGAGCCAACTACCAATTTTACTGTGAAAATTGATTTAGAAATCGAACAAGCTACGAATGATACAAATTAATCAACAAAGCACAATTTCATCACAAATGATCGAAACTTAATTTTCTTCTAAATTAAATAACTAAAAGATCAATAATTGAATGAATCAGGCCGACTTGAGCCAGCCCAATAACTTCCTATGTGATGCATCACCAACAAAATTTTCATAATCCATCACAAATCTCGAGGCATGACACGAATCTCGTATTTTCATAATCCATCACAAATCTCGAGGCATGGCACGAATCTCGTGGCAATCTTTTGAGCAAGAAACATTCAAACTTCAATCCAGAGCTCCGATTTCATC